ACCAGGGGTCACCCCGACCGGCTGGGGGAACCTTCCCACTAGCACAGGACATCTTCCTCAACCGCTCGCTCTTCTTTTCCCCTTTGTCCCTGTACAAAACCCAAAGGGCCTCATCTAACCCCTAGTGTGGGAGGAGCGAAGCCTCATCACCACTGACACGGTATCTGACAGACTGCAGCCCTCGGAGACAGCCGTGCTCCGCTCTGTCCCAAGATTACGCTCTGGCCCCGCGCCAACATCGACCAAAGCCACTGCCCCCAGAGCTACAAACTCAGCTGCCTGACAAGCCAGGGACAGTGCAGAAAAGCCGGACTTGGTGTATTTGCATTAAACAGCCCCGGGATTTCCCGCTAGCGACGGGGCAGTCTCACGCCCCCCTCTTCCAGCAGAGATCCTATTCCCCAGAGCCCGCTTGCGAGCCTTACTGTCAAGTTGTTGATGCCTTCAGAAAACGCTCCTATTTGCCTCACCGTCCCTTCCGAATCTTCCATCTGCAAAAATAAAACGGGGTAACGAATCAGTAACACATCCACCGCGCGCCACGACAGAGCGGCAACGCAGGGCGGCACGTGACGGAACTCCTTGATTACTCCCGACGGGTCAGCGCGGGGAGGGAGGGGTTCAGCTCCCGACGGCGCCCCACGCGCAGCCCCAACCTCCTCGGGCCGAGAGACACTCCTGTTAGTGCGGCGTGACCGACGGAAGTCAGGGCCTTCACGGGCCACAGCGAAAGGAAGGCTTCCCCGGGAAAAGGGGGGTTTTCCATCAAACCTGACAGCACAGCCGAGGGCTCCAAACTGCTCCAACTGCCTTACCTGCTCCAGCCTGTCCAAATCATCATCGTCATACACTCGGATATCCAAGCCAGGCTTAAACCCCTTCTTCGACCCACTTCCAGACGCCCGCCCCAGCTCCATAGGACACACGTACTCTTCCACATCGTCTTGCTTCTTCTTCCTCAGGCTCCCAAAATTGCTGAAGGCAAGTTTCTTTGGCTTATAAGTAAAAATTGACAAGAAGTTAGAGAGTCAGCAAAGAATCCACAGATCTCTTACTCTTGAAAACTCGTCGTGTTTCAACGACGAAGGGTCAAACCCTGCTGCTCCCCTGAACAAGGATCTCCTGCCTGGCTGTGTGTCACCGTAACTGCATCCCAAAGAAGGAGATGCATCCCCCCGTTCTACCAGTGTTAACGGATCACAAGTGAGGTGAGAAACCCACTGCGTTAAAGCACGAGCACACGGACCGTCAGAGGCAGTCTCCATCCTAAACACCGTCCAGCGCGGGCGGAAGGGCAGGACGCGTGCGAGCGCGACCCATGAGAGGCCGAGACGTGGCGCCTTCGTGGCAGACACGAAGCGCCAAGCCCAGGTTTGCCGAGTCCTGCTCTGGCGCTTCCTTCCCGAGCGGCCAGCCCCTCTTCTCTTACCCAACCGCCCTCCGAACGCGGCTAAAGCCAGCACACCGGAGACCGAAACGCCTGCCCGGAAGCTCCCGCGCCGACGGGGACAAGCGACCGACCTTCACTTTGGCAGTCGCTGTTAAGAGGACGTAGTCCGGGGACTCCATGGCTTCGCGTTTCTGCTGCTGGGCCTCCTGCCCGATGAGGAGGTTGAAATGAGTGGCCAAGTGCCGTCTCAGCAGCGTCTTGTTGGGTGGGATGTTCAGCAGCTGTGCCATGGTTTCCACGTTGAAACGAGGCTCCAAAACCTGGCAGTCAAAGCACAGGGAATCCTGAAGCCCGTACCCGCCCAGGAGGTCTCAAGGACACCGACAGGGACACCTATCTCGGTCGCTCCCTAAGGCTGCTTTGGGGTGGTGGCTTGGGTTTTAATGGAACATACAACAAAGAGGGAGGAAAGGGAGGTGACTGGTTAAGGATTCACACAGTGCTACCTCCAGGCTTGCCTTCTTGAGTTAAAAATAGAAACAAACCAGCAGGTAAGAAGCAACTAAATCCGCCCTTAACTCATGTAATGTGTGAAGCCGCCACAAAATATTTACCCACTTTCCGCTTTAATGCTAGAAAACGTAGCCAGAGGTAGGATGGAAAATAAACAGACAAACTGTCTGGAGCAGGGATATCGCCCTTAATCACCACAACAAACGCCTGCACCGTAAGGCTCTCGCCCGGAGTACCTGATGCTGGAGCAATTAAAACCAAACCTGGATTGACACTGAAATCACAAATCTCACAACAGCAACAAGCCTTCCTTACAAAACCCTATCGAGGTCTGGGAAGGAAGAGGGTGGCTGTCTAGCAGCAGGACAGCAGTGCCCAGCACCGCAGGACAGGCCGCACCCAGATCAAACTGTGAGGGGAATGCAGATACTCGAACCCATCGCTGCCCACGCTAATCCGTCCCAAGGCATGTGTGTCCTTTAAACCGTCGGGTAATAAATGTTGACGGCCATTTATTATCAAGCAGAGTAAGAAGATAAGGTGTGTGCGGCAAAGATAACGCCGGAACTTTGCTCCAGCCATCCTCAGCCGCATTTTTTTTTTTTAATTAAGACGGAATAAGCCTTACCATCAGCCCCCCGTGCACGCCGCTGCCCCGCAGATTAGGAGCGTACTCTGCCAGATCAACGGAGCGCAGCCACTCCATCACACGGTGATTGGTCCACTGGGTGACCTCAGAAGGCGTGACGTTGTTCTGTGAGCGGGAGGAACAGGCGGTTACGGCGACTGCCCCAGCCCCAACCCTGTATGGAAACCTACGTGCACTAGGACCACTTGCGACTTCTCTCAGTAGAACCGAAAATTTAGCTGGCTCCATGGACCGCTGCGCTTTTCCTGCAGATACAGGAATCTAAATCCAAGAGTCTGGGCTGCTTCCTCATCCATGGCCCTACCCAGCACAGACTGCTTCCAGAACAAACTGATGGCAGCCTCACCCCTGGCAACAGAGCCGAGCTCCTTTTACACAGGAAGTTTTGACACAGCCATCAATTTTCTAGGGAGTTACACAAGACTCACGGCAGCAGTCCGCTGAGTTCAAGGCGATTTACGTTCCAGACAGCACATCAGGGACTAAGCCTGATGTGAAAGGCTGCGAGAACTGGGCTTGTTCAGCCTGGAGGAGGCTCCGAGGAGACCTCATTGCAGCTTTCCAGTATCTGAAGGGGGCCTACAAGGGTGCTGGGAGAGGACTTTTTACAAGAGCCTGTAGTGATAGGACAAGGGGGAATGGGGATAAATTGAAATCAGGGAGGTTTAGATTAGATGTCAGGAAGAAAGTCTTCCCAGAGAGGGTGGTGAGGCACTGGGACAGGTTGCCCAGAGAAGCTGTGGATGCCCCATCCCTGGAAGTGTCCAAGGCCAGGCTGGATGAGGCTTGGAGCAACCTGGTCTAGTGGAAGGTGTCCCTGCCCATGGCAGGGGGGTTGGAACTAGATGATCTTTAAAGGTCCCTTCCAACCCTAACCATTCTATGATTCTATTCTATGATTCTGAGCCAGCTTTGGCTAGGAAGAGGAGCGGGAGATCTGGCAAGGGGACGCGAGTCTGGGACCATGGCAGGTAGAGGAGAGAAAGTGGTGTTCCAGGTAGTGATGGCAGGGCACGAGACTTGGAAGAACAACATCAGAAAAAGGAAGCCAAATGGAACAGAGTAAAATAGGAAGGAGGAGACAGGAGGAGAGGGCCAAGCAGGACTAATCTGAAACACCAGGGAAAAACCCTAGAGCATTCCTCTTCAGAGTTTCATCTCCAAGCAGTACCTCATCCGACGGCCTCCTGCGCAGACAGTTGGGCTCAAAGTTGTTTATTCTCAACACCTGAATGGCTCTTTTGATGCTGAGGTGGTGGAGGACGCTGACAACTTTCAAGGACAGCAAGTCATCCTGCCGAGGAGGAAGGGGGAGTTAACACAAACGTGCTCAGAGGTGGAACCAGCACCCGACTGGAGGAGGCTGGTTCGGATTCTGGCTGAAAACGGCACGTCTGACACATTCGAGGGTAAGATTTTAATACGTGAGACACGTGATCAACATCAACCCCGCTCACACAGGCCACGGGAGCAGGCTGGAGGCACGGGCAGCCCGAAGGCTGGCTCTGCCACAAGGCGCCGCAGGGGAAACCGGCTGTGCCTTCCACGGGGAACGTGGCAGGACAAGAGCCTGCCGAGGCACAGCCACGCTCCGGCCTGCGACACATCGGTGGTACAAGAGCAGCTGGCTCTTTCCCCAAAAGCTCCATCCTCACGTCTTTTGACTTAACCATTCATCCCACGGGGAAGCTACGTGAGAGCTCGCGCAGACCGGCAGTTCGGGCTCCCACCGGTGGAGAGCAGTCGCAGAACAACCCACGCCACGGCGAGGAACGAGACGGTGCCTCACAGCACCCCTCTCTCTGCACTGGCCACGGGGCACAGAGACTGCCTGCAGCGGGGCAGGTAGCTTTTGGACATCAGGAGCCGTGAGAGAGGAGTTTTCCCCCTTCACGACTACGGTGGCAAGCGGGAGTTTGAGGTTGGCTCCACTAAAGTTCCCTCTCCTTCTTGGACTCAGGGCTCCTTCAAACCCCCGAGGAGAGCTCAACTCTCCGGACAGATGTGGTGGATGATGGTGAAGGAGACAGAGGGTTTAGATGAAGCTCACAGGTTACAAAATCCTGCTGGTGCTACCCAGCTCCTGGACGTAATACAGTGAAGTCTTCCAGCACAAGATCAAACTCAGCAGAACCTCCTGGCACCGGATATCCAAGACTTAAAAACTAAAGGACACAAACACCAAACCACCCTATGTGGGCAGCACGGATTCAGCATTTGACCAGGACGCACTCAACAGCAAAGTCACGCCAGGGAGCTGAGGCAGGTTAGTCCCGGGCAGCAGCTGCAGTTCCTCCGCTGCGCTTGTCTTGCAGGAGAGTTAGATGGAGCCTCCTCCCAGTGCTGCTCTAAAGTGCGTAGAAAATACATGCAAACATGGCGTGAAAAGGTAACTTTTACTCTGCCCACAGCACGGCTCAAGAGAGAACAGGAGTGTGACTGACTTCTCGTTATGGAGAAGAAACGAATACTGGCGATGCTCAGTCCGCACTTGTGTCTCCAGAGAAGAACAAAGGTCTGGGCTTATCTTACCGGAGACCTTCCACAAAGGAAACCCACTTGGTTGGCTTCACCTGACAAGTGGGAGCTGACGCCGGTGCTAAGCATTTTGAAATGCTCCGAGGAGACCTCATTGCAGCTGTCCAGTATCTGAAGGGGCTACAAGGGTGCTGGGAGAGGACTTTTCACAAGAGCCTGTAGTGACAGGACACGGGGTAATGGGTACAAATTGAAATCAGGGAGGTTTAGATTAGATAGCAGGAAGAAATTCTTCCCAGAGAGGGTGGTGAGGCACTGGGACAGGTTGCCCAGAGAAGCTGTGGATGTCCCATCCCTGGAAGTGTCCAAGGCCAGGCTGGATGAGGCTTGGAGCAACCTGGTCTAGTGGAAGGTGTCCCTGCCCGTGGCAGGGGGGTTGGAACTGGATGATCTTTAAGGTGCCTTCCAACCCAAACCATTCTGTGATTCTATGATTCTATGAAACATGTTATGCAAAAGCTATTAAAGGTAACCTGTTTTCAAACAGGTCGGCTCTTAAAACCGCAATTTTCTTCAGGAGAAATCGCTTCCTAAGCACCCACATGAATAGGTGAGCAGACCGAACGTTCGTTCACTGAAGAAAAAACTCACCCGCTTCTATTAATTAATAACAACCCGAAGAGCAAAGGCCCGGGTGCGTGAACTGCGCCCGCAGCATCTGCACGCTTCTGCGCACTTCAGAGCGCAGCCTGAGCACACCAGCGTTGTGCACAACAGCTAAGCACAAGATTGCCCGGTTCTCCTGCGTGAGCCCTGCCTCTTGCTCCCTGTGTTTGCTGTTCCACCTTAACATACCATCTGGAAAGCTGGAAAGAATAGAGGAGATACCTGCAGGTGAGCAGTAACCTGTTTTCTACAGGTCACAGCTATTAGCTGAAGCCGGGACACTCACTGCAGTTTCAAGGGGTCCCTTAAAGGCTGCGGTGAAGCACACGGAGACATACGGTGTTCTGGCATATCCTTTTAGCAGCGGCGATACCTCTGACCTCCCTCTGCCTTCTCCCCTCAGCTATCCAGAAAACGTGAAGACCCAAGGTAGGAACCACGCAACAGCTTTAACGTTGTTGTCAGAAACTCTCCTGAGACACAGGGTAGCTTTAGCTATCCAAGCCTGTATCGGCGGTGCACTACGTGCCCATAGGTGCAGCCTCTGTGATGCAGCAGAAGGAAGGAAGAGTAAGCTCCAACTTGGGCTTCCTTTCCATAGATCCAGTCGTCTGGGGCAAAACTCGTACGGGCAGACAATGGCCACGTGCCACCTTCACGTTCCTTTCGAAAGCTTTCACCAGAGGCGCCGTGTAACGCTCAGTCGGCCTGCCGACCTCCACACGGTGCTTTCTGCTCTAGGGAGCTACATCCAGCTGTGATCGGCTCCTCGTGCACGCTGGATCCCACAAGATGCCCATAAGGGACCCCAGAACGGCTGGCTGTGACACGAGACCCACCCAAGCAGCTGCAGATCCCCTCCTGCACCCCACAAGCCGGCTGCTTGTGGGACCGGCCGGGATTTGGCTCACGCGGGAGGGCCGAGGGGAAGAAGGTTGGTGATGGTGGCTGGTGGCAGTGCCTCCTCTCCCGCCACAGCTGGCTGTCTCTCTCCCACCCTTACAACAGGGGCAGGAGGGTATGTTTGTCTGGGGCCAGGGCTGCTGTGGGGGGAAGGCCTGGGGGAGGCTGAGAGGGGGTGAACTTGGCAAGAGGCTGCTTGCAGAGGTGCGTGGTAGGGTGAATCTACCCTATTTGCAGTCCCTAGGTGGTCCTGGTGCTAAGGAGTGCAAACCAGGTTGATGCCACTGGCAAAACGACCCCAAAGGAGCAGGAGGGGTCTCTCTAGTCCCACACGGTCTTTGGCGGGCTATCGGGAGGTACGCCAGCGTGCACTGAGGCGGGGAGAAACTACGAACCCCAACAAGACGTCAGGAAAAGAAGGGCCATTCACTCACCACGCTCATGTAATGGAGCATTCGGCCGTCCACCTTGCCCTCATCGAACTGCGTCTTGTACTGGGGGAGGCCGATGTCATCCAGCCACCCTAAGGCAGAGACAGGCACTCAGGTTGGTGTGGTGGCACCAGTTAGCAGTATTCCCACCCCCTGAGTCCCAAAATAGGGGGAACCCCTATCAACAGCTGCGGCTTCAGCACGTAATTAAATCTTACTGGTAACCCAGTGGTAATCCAGTTTTCCGTGATTGTTTTCCTCTTCAGACCCGAGTGCCTGCAGAGCAAGCTGAAGCTTCTTCCGATGCAACGGGTGCTTTATCCCAAGCTCCTGTGAAAGGAAGGGAAGCAGCAAACCTAGAGACAGCACTGTACTTTATTTCTCCCCCTGCTGAGTTACAAACGGTTTCAGCGAGTCCCACTGCATGGTGTCACTTGCTGGTGACCTGGCTGGTGTCTCCTCTATTTGCTGGAGATCAGCATCATTTCAGCACGTGTTCAGCACTGGGGAAAGGCCCACGCACTGTGGTGGATTCATTCTAAAATGTGCTGGATTGCAAACTGAATGAAAACGGAGACCTTATAGCACCTTCCAGTACCTGAAGGGGCTACCAGGAAGCTGGGGGGGACTTTTGACAAGGGCCTGTAGTGACAGGACAAGGGGTAACGGGTTTAAATTGAAAGTGGGGAGGTTTAGATTAGATATCAGGAAGAAGTTCTTCCCGGAGAGGGTGGGGAGGCGCTGGGACAGGTTGCCCAGAGAAGCTGTGGATGCCCCATCCCTGGAAGTGTCCAAGGCCAGGCTGGATGAGGCTTGGAGCAACCTGGTCTAGTGGAAGGTGTCCCTGCCCATGGCAGGGGGGTTGGAACGGGATGGGCTTTATGGTCCATTCCAACCCAAACCATTCTGTGATTCTATGAAAATGTCAGCCACAACATTCTCATAACAGGTTAAAAAAAACCCCAACCCACAGTATAAAACACGTTAGCATTCAGAAAAATACTTGATGGACTACTTCCTTCCCCTGCCCTTCGGCAGGTAAGGTTAGAACAATTATTTCATTAAGAGCACATGAAGGTCCTAGGAATTGCCCAAATCTATTAATACTTCCAAATGCAGAACACCTTCCCCAGTTTAGTTGCCAGTGCAGCCATTGCAGGCTCTCTTCCATCCCACACACACCTTCACCAGTGCTTGCTCGTTAATCTTACCTCTGATAACATTATTAGATGTCACTACGTCCCTGTGGTGCTTTTCTTATTCTGGTTGTAGTGTAACTACAACCCTGAGTTAGCTCACTCCCTCACTGAGAAAACAGGGCTACTGTTTGGTGAGGACAGTGATTTTTAGAAGTCGAAAATCCAAATGTTAGCAAACACTGTGGCTACAAAGTATAGATTGAGGCAAAACTTGTAACGTTGCTAGTTTTAGAAAACAAGATGTAAACGGTACTAGGACAAAGGGATCACCCTCATGTGTAACAAACCATCGTTCCTCTGTGTAAAACGGGCAGAAAGCAGACCAAACCAGCAGCTTTTACACCTCTCCCACACAGGCTTGTACCACGCACAGGTGCTAACGCGTCTACACACGTGTGGTAACGAGGCACTCTCGTGTGCGGGTTTTAAAGCGGCGTAGCCGATTCGGACGTTAATGAAGTTAAACCACATATTTGACACAGGCGCTAACACGTCTACACACGTGTGTGATAACGAGGCACTCTCATGCGCGGGTTTTAAAGCGGCATAGCCGATTCGGATGTTAATGAAGTTAAACCACATATTTGTAATTATTCGTTTCATGACACTTCTATAAAACTTCAGCTACCAAGAAACGTACTTGGCATTGCTGCGGATGCCAAAAATTTTAAAAACTGACATTTTTAATTTTTCTTCTTTACTCGATGCACCTTACAGACACGATTAACATGCCAAGAAACAGCAATTTTTTGTATGTTCAATTGAAAGCAGTGTTTCCAGTATTTCTCACCTTTTCCAGATCCTGCTGAGAAGCCTGCAGAAGCGTTTGCCCAGACAGTATCCAGTGTTTGCCATGGCTAATGTAAGAGCCCAGCCCCTGGTCCTGGAGCCAGCTGCAAACCTGCTCCTTCGTCCACTTTGCGAATGGCATGTCCAGCTCACTACAGAAGATTTTACCAAAGACAGACTGATAAATCCCACGCCTCACATCTCCTAGTCTCATACCCAACGATTAAACCAAAACCTAAGCAGACTACATGAGTATCCTGTGGGAGTTGGGACAATCTCCGTGGGAGAATGCGTCTCACCCTCGCTGTTAGGTGAGCCTGGGGAGGCAGAGGGTGTCTCTATTTCTAAACTGCCAGCACCACGAAGCACTGATGGCTGCTGATCTCCTGCCACTATCACGATAAACCTCAACCCTGCAAAGACCATCTCTCATGGGAGGAAACGGCCTGGATCCGCCTGCTTCCATTTGCCAGGAGAGGGGACGTTTCATTTGGCACCGCGCTTCTCCTCTGGAGCTCGTGCTCGCTCGGAGCTGCCGGGAAGGCAGGCACCGGCACACCTCGCACCACTCGGCTTACTTGTGGGACTGCCCCAGGTCTCGCGACCAGCCCAGCCGTGGCCCCGCCGTTGCCCGTGTCCCGCCTCTTTTGAACTCCGTCTCGGACATGTCGTCTGGGTTGAAGGTGGTGGACTGGCTTCTTTTCAGTCTAAAGGAAGAAAGCAGATTCACGTTTGGCTGAGGAAAAGGCATGCTTCTACTACTGCAACCCGTAAGATCTCCGGAGGGGGCTTGTAGCTCTTCCTCCACCCGCCACTGACCTGCTCTGAGCTCCCTCAAATGCCACTTGAGACAGTAACCCATGGAGCGACAGGTCAGGGGGGGAAAAAGGGCAGATGTGTTCCCAGCAAAACCCCATGCAAGCCCCAGCTCTGGAGAACGGTCACTTCTCATCTCTTACTTACTTGCCAAACAACTTCTTGATCCCTCTGGCCTTTTTCTTGGAATCTGGAGAAGGTGGAGTCATCTGTAGACTATCTGTTTCTTTAGGGCGAGGGGGCAAGCCAGCCAGATCCAAGTGATCTGCAGATCCTTTCTCCGTTTCAGCTATTAGAAAGCAAAAGCCTCATCAAGACTCATTCGTGCAGGACTGTACACACAAACTCCTGGACTCGGGAATGACTCTTCCTAAAATCACTGAGAGCCATCACGTTAAAAAAAATGGGGCAAAGAGGAATGGGAAAATCCAGGAGAAACAACATGTGTTCCTCCTCCTTCACGAGCCTGACTGGGAACACTCCGAGGGAGTGCTCTGCACCGGTTAAGTGCATCCAAGGTGGGGAAAAAACCCACCCTGTGAATCAGTCGGTGAACTGATTCAAATCCCAAGTTTACCCTTCCTCGGGGAGTGCTCTAGCAGTCCTTTCACAGACAGATCCAAGCCATATGGATGCCCAGGAACAATTAGGTGCCGTGTCAGGGGACCAAACCAGGAGTCCCCAAAGCACAGAAAAATAAATAATTTCCCTGCAGGCATCTTTCCTAATAAGCTGCAGTATCCCCTAAGTCCCTCATCCAGGAATTTCCAACAACAAGGAACTCCTCCTGCCCCAGGAGCAGGAGGGCCCTTTCCCCTCACTTCTGCAAACTGTGGAATATTCTGTTGCTTTGCAGTGAAACGCCGGGGAGTTCAGGCTCTGTCTGAATGAGATCTTCTGGGTGATGCACAAGGCACCTCTGGTTAGAGACCCTACACATCACCACCCACTCTAAAAGCATTAAATCTTTCCTCTGAGCTGTTGTTTTCTATGACAACAAACCTAAGGGCTCCTGTCCCCAGAAGGGAAGTTGTCACGAGATAGTTTAGTAAAAGCTAAACTAACGAGAAAGAAAACCATTTTAAGATCACAATTAAAAAGAAAACTAACAGAATTGCAGTATCTACCAGGCTACGTAAGCAGAGGTGTGCCAGCAAGTGCCAGAGAGCTGCATAAAACTACCACGTGGAGTTGATGCCACCTACTCGCGGGGGACAGTGACAGCACGAGCCTGCTCAGGTGAAGCGGTGGCAGCCAAGTGGCCTGCAGCAGGCTGACGGTCAGGCCTGTAACCACTTTCACCATCTTTTAACAGGGCTGTGCAATTGGACGACCACCATTTCCTTTTGAAACGGACTCTCAGACTTCCAGGGGAAACCCGAACACATTACGTGAACCAAGGTAGAGCATATACGGCCGGGACGTGTGGTTTCAGGCCACAGCGTGAAGGCCGAGGCGGCCACAACGTGCCACCCACAGCAAAGTGCGGGCTTCACCGCCGTGTCTTTCTGCCGGGCAGAGTTCCGATGGTTCAGCCAGAATACACCTGACCACATCCCGTTTTCCACCGATGCTTTAGAGGTTAAAGCTGGCAGTGGAGCAACAAGGTCACATAAAAGATTATTTCTGGGTGCCCTGGTCTGACCGCTGTTGCATATGGGGATCATAGAATCACAGAATGGTTTGGGTTGGAAGGGACCTTAAAGCCCATCCAGTTCCAACCCAAAAAAATCCACTAGGCCAGGTTTCCCCAAGCCCTCATCCAGCCTGGACTTGAATCTGGATCCTGCCAGCAGAGACAGCACTGATGCCGAACCAGGCTTCTGCACCTGGGGTTTGGGCTTTACCCGTGTAAGAAAAAGTGCTAGCTTAGAAAAACCACATTTAAACAGCCTTCTAGAGAGAGAATGCCAGGACGAGGTTGGGTGCATTAGCAGCAGAGATTTGCGGGTATTGCAACGTTTGCTCCTTGTGCCTCACTCCCTCTCACATACCCACACCGCCCTGTGGAACACCCAACATTTAAGGGGCTCCGTGGGGAACGAAGAGGGCCCAGGACTCGGTCTCTCCGTCAGCGATGGGCACGCCGGGCGCCTGTACAACCGCCCCGACTGACACAGCTCTGCTTGCTCAGGCAGGGGCCTGCCGGCCTCACCTTGCCAGATCCACCCAGGGAACGCTCACACCACAGGACTGGTTCTTCCCGCGTGAATGGCTCCATCCGCCCCAATTATTTCTCCTTCGGTTATTATATGATAAATATAACCGCAACTCAGAAGAGGAGTTACGTATCCTTCCCCCCAGAACTCCCCTAAGTGAATGCCTGGGAAATACGCCTCGTTCCTTGCTCTTCCAGGGGCTCCAGGACAGACGACAGCACAAAGGCGCCTGTGGTATTTCAACGTCACCGATCCTCCCCCGGTACCTGGCTCTGTGGGTAACTTTGCGCTCAAAGTTACGGCAAAGGTCTCTGCAAATTAACCCGCAATCTCTCTCATTAGTAGCAGTTACCGAGCGATGGCGCAGCCGACTCTGAGCAAGAGGGCAGATGTTACACGGCAACTCCTTTTAGGGATGAGTGAAAAGTTTGGAGGCAGAGCTCTGGTGTCTAGTTGTCGTTTGCAAAGTGCGTGGCCATAACGGGCTGTTAGCAGCAGTCGCAGCACAGCGCTGGTACCGGCAGACATGCAGGATTACCGTACCTAAAGTAGGTGCACTCGCACTTCGACTGCGATCTTCAGACATCCGAACAACGCGCGTAACCACACGCAGCCCAACGGGAGAGAACACGCAGAGGGACAAGGTAAAACACAGTTCAAAACTTACATGGGCAAAATACAAGACAGAGGAGGGCGGTACACGAGACACACTACATGCAACACTGAATTCACGCACAGATTAGGATTACCAATTCACTGTTAATGCCTCTCTCACAAAAAGGAAATGCAGTACAAGTCTACGGTAGGGAGGGTAAAACGGCACCGCAGTCACTTTGGTGCAGGGAGGTCACTGTCTCCGTGACACGCTGGGCACGTGACACGCGTGGCCTCCCGTGAGGTGGCAAAGTATCTGGCCACCAGCTTTACCAATGGAAGCACTGAAATCTGCGTAACATAAATCCCTTACTCACAGGACCCTGCTCTAGATGGCCCATCTTCCCACCCTTTACGACAGCCACAAGTACTCTGCTTTGTCAGACGAATCGATTTCCGGATGAAACAAGTGATTACACACATGGAATACACCAAAGCAAAGAGTCAGACTCCCAGAACAGTCCGTACATCTGTGCCAAGTAAGCCAGCAAGTTCCCACGCTGTGTGCCGCAGGAAAACATGGGCAGTATATAATAAATGCATAGGTACGTTGTTTCTTTTGAATAAGAGTAAAAAACATGTCATTAAGTAAGAACAGGAGACTCTTGTGCTCCACAAAGCAGAAGCTATCCCCCTTCAGGCTTCTGAGAGACAAGGCTAAATTCCTAGATCCCATGCAAGCCAAAACCTTCAGACGAATGGCAGCAGGTGGGATGCCCAGACCCACCGGATGCTTGAACTGCAGCAGTGGGAAGACTGCTACAGCAGAGCAGTGAATGCAAGCAGGATTTCAGCTGGTGGCCACAGCGACTTCCGCATTAAGCGGAACATTTTGTTTATTTCTTTGTCACGTGCAAATGTCATCGACAACACCAAAACAACCCCACTTCCTTACAGGTCCAAAAATAAACGTGAGCTTGAGTAACTTGTCAATCCTGTTCCTGTTGTCACTCTCTCTTTTGTAAGGCTGCTTAAATACACAGAAAATAAAGACTGAGTGCTGCTGCCTCAATCCTGCACATGTGAAAAATCTTACGAAAGACAAACTGAGGATGGAGCCAGGGGTAAAAAAAAGCTGACAAATCCCACGCGTGAACTACTGCCAGGCAGCCAGCATTTCAAAACAGCAGTGATTCACTATAAGGGCCCAGGGAAGATACCACAGCAGAGGTTGATACGGATCATATACTTCATTATGAGTTTTTTCTTCTGTTGTTTTTTCTTGTTGCTGTTTGTTATTTTCCAAACATTCTACCCAGAGAAGTGCCATCAAGTCACGGTGAGACTAAGGCTGGCCTTTCTGCTTCTTAAGACAGTTGCAGCTGTTAAGACCCTTGTTCAAAACACACAGAATCTGCACGCAGGTGCGTGATACCTACCCAGATTGGGGGCACTCGCGGTCCTCTTGTTATTTTTTATCTTGAAAAAGCCTCGTCCAAATGAAGATCTGGCTTTACGGGTACCAAAGCTATCCTCGTCGCCTATGCCAGCATGAGAAGGAGACTTCGGAGGCAGAGTCGCGAAATTACTACCTTCCACAGGAGGTTTAACCTGCTCGAGTCAGGAAAATAAAGATTCAGTGTCAGGGAACTGGAAAAGGCTCGTTGAGGGAGACTGCAAAGTGACTGCTGACAGAGAGATCTGGAGAGTCACTTTCATTTGTTACCACAAGAAAAGAGAATGCAGAAGCCACAGAGGAAAACATGAACAGAGAGGAAAACAAAAGCCATGGATGAAAACGTAACGGTCTTAATTTGAACACATTCGGAGCCCACGATTACCATCACCATCTTTTAAGAGTAACATATTTTAAGAAGTTTCTCACTTTTGGCATGTCTGGCTTACAGGTATAGGAAAGGTAAAAAAATACATTCCTGGAGGATTTGGAACTTTTCCAGCTTTCCAGGTTTTCTGTCTCCCCAGACAGCCTTAAGGGCACTGGGAAGTAAAGAGGGACAGTATATGGGTTCTCTGCCAAGTGTCAGACAGCCCCTTCTGCCCATCACTGCTCTGCCATTTCAGAATTAATGGATTAATTAACTATGTTTGCTGCCAAAGCTGAGAGGAAATTAAGTAAGGATGCCAGGACAGACATCAGACACACCAGCTAACCAACTTAAAGCAGAAGTTTGAGCCTTGTGGTTGTTTCACCGTCTTCTTAAAAGGAGGAGGAAGCAAACCCGTTCACAATCCAAACAGGAACCTCTGGCTTTTGCCAGATGGATACAGCATTCACCCAGTGAGTGGTATCAGCGGTATGTTGTCTCTGCTCACGTCTTCCTACAGGTAGTAACTGCTGCACGCAAACTACGGCCATACGGTACCGCAGGGTAACTGTTCTGCACTGACGGGCTCTTTCGGAACACAGTTGCTACTCACAGAAGACAGTTTGGAAAGCCAAAGCTTTTTAAAGAGACACTAATCAAAGGTAATTACAGAGTCAGTAAAATACTTAATGGTTAGCTTTGCTAATTACCTAGTGGTAGAACACGTGGGGGAAACATTAGCTTAGCTCAGTTTATGCTCCACGTTAGCAACCTTATGCTCAACCAGACTGAAGGATAACCCACGTGTGAGGAGACGAGAACGTGCGAGACACGAAGCCTGACGCTGAAGCGATGGTGACAACCATCATACGCTCCTCGCTAGCCTGTCTGCGGGTCTGCTACTCCCCCCCCCCGCCGGAACCGCGTGCCCCAACCGCGCGCACCGAGCCCTTCGGCGCC